ATGTATTGTCTTATATGTAAAAGTCTGTTTTCCCCCCTCCTTTGGATTGTGAGCCGCCCTGAGTCCCCCCAGGGAAAAGGGCGGCATATAAATAAACCTTCTAATCTAATCTAATCTAATCTAAGTAGTCCTCCACTTGCAACTTTTACGATGGACCCCAAAAAAGGGGACTTAGGACCAGGATGACCTAAATTTCCTTTGCCTGCCTTGTACACACAAAAGGCATCATATCTTCACCCCGCAGTTCATACACTTACATTCTTCATGACGTGTTCGCGCATGCGCAGGCGTTCTTCCTCCATTTCCAACATATCATCTTCCTCATTTCGGGGATCGTAAACCTTCTCCAGCTGCAAAAAGAAGACTCCTTTAGCTAGTATGTCGGAATTTCATTTCCCTAAATTCCACTCCCCTGCCGCAGCTCCCTGGGAAAAAAGTGCAGGGATTGAACTGCCACTTTTTGTATGCAAAATATACATTCTACCTCTGAGCTGGTAGTCCAGCTTGCAAGACGGCTCTGAACTGTTTTTTCTTTTTTAATGGAGGATCACTAAAGTACATGAGTTGTCTCAACTGCAGGATTGTCATATCAGGAAGACTAAGAACTTACCTCCTTAGTGAAAAGTGCCTCCAATTCCTGCTCATCCAGCACCCCATCACCGTTGGTGTCTGGGGAAAAGAAAGGGAGGAATGGCAGTGAAGCACATCAAATGTGAACAACTGAACTTTTCTCGCAGTCAAAACCACATGCCTGTTTGAAAGGTGTTGCAAGTGGGGCTGAACTTTGTTTGAGCTGGCCCAATATGCTAGAATAGGGGTATCAGACACAAGGCCCTTGGGACAGATCTGACTTTTATTGCAGTTGTTGAGCAAATTACAGTCATTAAGCAAAACTGCCTTCCCCCATTGATTCTGCTTGTCAGTTTCCTGGGAAGATCATAGATGGTAATCAAGTGATCCCTGGTTGCTGCAACCTCTGTAAATGCCAATTGCCAAGCACTCTAATTCTGATCACAACCTTTAAGGACACAACAACACTCAGAAGGAGCAGAACTGGACATACCATATTTTTCGGAGTATAAGATGCACCATTCCCCCCCCCCCAAAGAGCGTGGAAATGTTGGGCATCTTATACACTGAATGATGCCATTTTTGGGCTCCCAAAGCCCTGTGCCTGCATCCCATTTTTGCAAAAAAGTAGGCATTTTTGCCTTCCCCCAGAAACACTGGAGGGAGGGCAAAAATGCCTCTGTTTTTGCGAAAGATGACTTGTTTTCCATCCATTTTTCACAAAAACAGTTGCGTTTTTGCCTTCCCCCAGCCCTGCCGAAGCCTACAGAGTACTACTAGGGGCCAGGGAGGACAAAAACATATTTTTTCCTTACTTACCTCTTCAAAATCTTGGTGCGTCTTATATACTGGTGCATCTTATAGTCCAAAAAATACGGTAAGTCGCTTTCCTCAGCACCATCATAATTTCAAATAGTTGTTAAAAGAATGGGTCTAAATCATGGACTACCTGTATAAGCCAGAATTGCTAAGAATTCTGACATTTCAATTCAGGAGCCATGTACAGGTGGTCCTTGAAGTACGACCACAATTGAATCCAATATTTCTGTTGCTAAGTGAGACAGTTGATAAATAGAATAACAGAGTTGGAGGGGTCCTTGGAGGTCTTCTAGTCCAACCCTCTGATCAGGCAGGAAACCTATACCAGTTCAGACAAATGGTTATCTAATCTCTTCTTTAAAACTTCCAAGTGTTGGAGCATCCACAACTTCTAGAGGCTTAATTGTTCTGTCAGGAAATTTCTTCTTAGTTCTAGATTCCTTCTCTCCTTGATCAGTTTCCACCCATTGCTTCTCATCCTACCCTCAGGTGCTTTTGAGAATAGGTTGACCTCCTTTTGAGTTTTGCCCCATTTTACAACCTTTCTTGCCATAGTTAAGTGAATCACTGCAGTTGTTAAGACAGTAACAGGGGTGCAAAGCAAATCTGGACTTCCTCAAAAGGTGATCAGATGACCCCAGGACACTGCAACCATCAAGAAATATGAGCAAGTTGTCCAGCATCCAAATTTTGATCATGTGGACGTGGGGATGCTGCAATGATTGTGTGAAAATTGGTCATATCGCTTTTTTCTGTGCCATTGTTACATTTGAATGATCACTAAACTAAAGGTTGTAAGTCGAGGACTACCTGTAAAGTATAAGCTTAGACTGCTAGTTCTTTCTATTTCGAACCCATCTACCAGGAAAAAAATTATTAATGAGGGGAAAAAGCTTCCTATTGCATCAGACTGTGAATTGGCTACTCCTTTTGTAATCAATACTCTGAAATTAGAGTATTAAGGCCACTTATGTCTCACAAAAGCCATAAAGAAGAACTGGGACATAAGAGAAGGGGTAGTTAATTTATTTCTAATCAGTTATTTTCACTTCATTTGTATTAGGCTACCCCCATACTAGAGGCCAGAAGTTGTGTTAAGATATTTGAATTTAGCATCTGGAGCAGTGGGGTTGTGTAGTGAGCCAGAACAGAGTTATAGCTCAATGGTTGAAAAGTGCTGGCTAAATCTGCACTTTGATTGGTTGCTGTGGGCGTGGAGGGGGAATTTCCCTTTCCCCCGCCTTTTTCTTCTGTGTGCCTTGCGTGCTCTGATTTACCTCATGATTCTCCCCTTTACCTGACTACCTTGTTTGGTGTAGATGTAGAACGACCATTGACTTACCTGAACGGTCCTTCTATGTGTGCTGCGAGGAGAATCCAAGCATGGGTTAACTTTGCCCATTAGCCTAGAGACTGAGTTACGCAATTGTTGACCACACCTCCTCTGGCTGGGATAGCTGTTTTGTATGAAGGCTCAGCCGATCCAAGAGAAGCAAAGGAATCAGCAGACGAGAAGTAACACAAATGAGTGTGTGTGAGATTGAGACAGTGCCAGTGCCCGGACCAGTCGAAGCCGAGGGCGGGTTTGGATTCCCCTCGCAGCGCACATAGAAGGACCGTACAGGTAAGTCAAGGGTCATTCTCCTGTGCGCTGCTTGGAGAATCCAAGCATGGGACATGCCAAAGCAATGAGTTTCAAGGGTGGGAGCTAGGCTGGTCAGGGGTTTGAGAAGCTGTTAGAACCCTCTGAAGGACTCGCCGCCCGAATGAGGCTTGAATGGCCCAGGCTGCCAAAGTGGCTGCGCTCCTGGTGGAATGGGGAGTGCTGCGCCTGGGCACAGTCCCGGATTAGCTCTCGTAGGCAAGGGAATGCATGCTTTCAGCCAATGTCCGATGGTGTTGGAGGACACTTTCTCTACCATGGTTGCTGGCTGAAAGGAAACAAATAAGGCTTCCGACCTTTTGAATGAAGCAGTTCGTTTCACATAATGACAAAGTGCCCTACGAACGTCAAGACGGTGCCATTGTCTCTCCCTTGGGTGCAAAGGTCGCACACCAAAGTCCAGGAGGATGATCTCCTGCACCCGGTGAAACCAAGAATTGACCTTGGGGAGGAATGCCGAATCCAAGCGAAGGACCACCCTGTTCGAATGAAAAATACAGAAGTCCTCGCGGACTGACAGGGCTGCCAGCTCCAACACCCTCTGAGCTGATGTAATGGCTATAAGGAAAATGGTTTTAAGGGTCAACAATTTGAGGCTAACTGGGTGCAGGGGCTCGAATGGCTCTGCGGTAAGAACCTGTAGTAGCACTGCCAGATCCCAAGGGAGATAGCGATGGATTACTAGAGGCTTGAGATTTGAAGCCACTTTGAGGAATGACCGTACCGGTGAATGGTAAGCTAGGGAACGGCCGTGCCCGTCACCGATGACCGTCGACAGTGCTGCAATCTTGCAGTGTAGAGTATTGGGAGTAAGTCCTTTGTCCATACCCGTCTTCAAAAACTCAAGTAGTTGTGGTACGGAGGCCGAGACGGGATTAATGTTGGTGCTGTGGCCCACCCGTAGAAGGCTCTCCAGATGGCTTCGTAAATTTGTGTTATGGACGGATGCCGGGCCGCCTGGATTGTTTCAATGACCTTGGCAGAAATTTTTTGCTTAATTAAGATATCCCTCTCAATTGCCACACAACTAATTGCAAGTCTTGGGGGCTCAGATGATTGCCCCCTGGGAGAGGGATATCTGAGTGTCCGGTATTCTCCAAGGATGGGAGATGGACAGATTCAGCAAGTCGGCGTACCAGGGGCACTGTGGCCACATCGGGGTGACCAGCAAGACCTTCATTCTCTCCGCCAATATTTTCCGAATGACATGCGGAATTAGCGGGAGAGGCGGAAACGCATAAAGTAGGCCTGGTGGCCAAGAACTGTGCAGTGCATCGATGCCCTCCATTCCCGGTACCTGGAATCTGGCAAAGAATCATGGGAGGTGAGTGTTGTGGGGTTGTGGGAAGAAGTCTACTTCTGGGTGACCGAACCTGTGGGATAGTTCCTGAAACAGTGCCGGGAATAGATGTTACTCCGTCTGATCCACAGTTGCCCTGCTCAGCCAATCCGCTTGTACATTCGCAGTCCCTGGATTGATAGGAGATGTCTCTCCGCCCAACAGTGGAGTCTCCCTGCCTCTAACATCAGTGACTTGGACCGTGTGCCTCCCTGGCGGTTGACATGAGCCTTGGAGACCACGTTGTTGATGAAGAACAGCACACGGCTGGCCCTGTCCAAGTGCCGAAAGTTGTGAAGTGCAAACCGGATGGTACACAGCTCCAACCAGTTGATGTTGTTCCTGAGCTCTTGCGCACTCCAGCACCCCTGGGCTACCTGATCGAGAGAATGNCATCCCAAATTGTATAGCTAAAAGTCTGTAGAGATTTTCAGTCATCCAGTCATGGTTGTCCCAACTAGACTCTCATCCTGCAGCCAAGAAGGCTCCACGGCCATTTGCATCACTCAGGTGGCCCCGAGGACACAGACAAACCTCCAAGTGGCCTCAATGACTCTCTAAAAGAATGCAAATGACCATCTGTCTGCAAGAAATATAAATATAAATCCTTCCATTTCCCACTATCCTGTCAGAGCTGAAGACGCTTCTTGCATGATAAGTGAAACGTCTTCAAAGAAAAGCCCAAGAAAGCCTCCTGAAAAAGCACCTTTGAGACAACCATGACCTGGATGACTGAGAATCTCTACAGACTAACCTGGGGATTCTTTAAGATCATTCACTGATGCAGACTGGGAACTACATTCTGCACACCTTTTGTTATCATTTGGGTTGGCACTATTCTAATAAAGTTATCAATCTGGAAAATAAAAACTGGAATTGACCCAGACATTCCATCAGTTAAAAATTCACTTGTTTCCAATAACCATCCTCATTAATGATAAGCCAGACTTTGTTTCACGGTAGAACATACAGCAGCTGCAGTTAATACATAACAGAAGTGAAAGAATTATTCTTCCCGAGGAAAAAGTGAACTGGACTAGACTAGGGTGGGTGGGTGGGGGGTGTTAGCTCTCCTACCTTAATGTTAAAGTATAACCTATGATTCATTTGAACAACGAGGGTTTTTCGGGGAGGAAAAAATTCCCAATAAACTGGTCTCCACTAGTTCTATCAGTATGCAGGGTCAGTTTTCTTTCTGCACAGCTTGGAAAAACAGCCAATGCAGAAAAGATGCTCTTTTTTTTTTTTCTTTTTTTTTTGCTCTTTGCAAACTCTCAA